AGCTAAGTAAGTAAACCCCCTTCCAACCTGAACACGAATGCATTTGAATTCTGCAGATTCAATGTGTGGAAGACTAACTTCTTCAGATGGTATTGAAGAGTCTACGGCAAAGAGTACGCCACCGCCGACTCTGTCCTCCCGATCTTTTCTGTAGATATGATAATTATTTGAAAGAATCTCTGAATTAAAAGTGTGAGGGTTGAGCCAAGTTTCAGTCAAAGAAATTATATAATATATAAATTATAACTGCATTCAAGGCCATTAAGATATAAATTCGTTAATTTAGTATTTATGCCTCTTACGTTTTGATAATAAATACAGATTTAGTAATCAGTTTTTTGATTCTGTGTTCTGACGGGGAATATTTGCTAAATTATTATTTTTGTTGGGCCTATACTCAAATTCACGAACGAAAGCTCCGGAGGGCCAAAAAGAACTACTAAGCAGCATGTCAAAATTTTCTAAATTTACGTCTATTTTCAATGAAGAAATATTTCTTTCATATTTAAAATTAAATTTTCTGATACTTAAGTTGACAGTTTTAACTTTGGACAAGATGTAAAACTATATATCGTCCTCGGAAGTATCCCTCGAAAATCTAGATACAAATATAGACTTCTTTGGGGGAACCACAACCAGTCTCCTAGTATTAGACTCGATTACCGGCGGACGGGGTTGAGTAACTGAGTTACTAATTGAGGGTAGAGTAAGCGTTGGAAGATTAGATGGCGGTGCCACAACTTCAACGGGGGAAGATACTGCAGGGTCGTTATTATTAGAAGCAGACTTTGATATATGTTCTTTTGAGGAAGATAACTCCGTTGTCTGTGGACATGGAGAAGAAAGATTAATTAAGTCATTCGGAAGATTGTTCTGACGTGGAACGGTCCTTTCATTAGGTGGACTATGAAGACGCTTACGTTTTGACACACAAATGTCCTTCATAGATTGTACGGTATCTAAGCATTTAAAAGATTTAAATACATTTTCATAATGTTTAAATTTTTTGGTCAGTACCGATAACTCTCTCCCTACCTCAGAAAACCCATTTCTGGTTTGCCTAAACAACTTAAAGAGATCAACTTCGGTTGACCTACACTTTAAGCAAGACCAGCGAAGACATTTGCCATCATTAATAGCGTCCAGAATTCTTCCTGTCAAACCAGCACATTTTAGATGGCAAATACCATCACAGAGCCAGCACGATAAGTAGCGTTCAGATTCCCTTTTAATTTGGCAGTTATCAAGATCACACTTCATATTGAAAGATTTAATAACACTTATGTTAATAAAAAGACAAACAAAATAAGTTTAACACAACACACACAACAATTTAGGAGCTGATGTATTTAGCTTAAAAATATATGTAGCGAACAGTTTGAGTATCACTGTATTGTGACACTTAATAAACGCAACGCAAACAGCTGTGACACAAAAAACTAAAAGAAGTAAACAAAAAGAGCAAAAAGAAATGTGCAAAAATAGAAACGATCTCAGTTAACTACAAAGGAATTACAACAATAATGATAACAACAAATGACTCGGCAAGATTAGATGTATGCTAGTGAAATTTAATTAAATTTAATATAAACCACAAAAATCACAAAACTTTCACTTAGCTTCGATTATTATCACACTAAGATGCACGTAGGCACTTTTTATAGCAACTTTTACTCAGAATTAGCACAATAAACTTTGCAAAATACAAAGACAAATCAGAGCACAATATAAGTAGAACTTCACAGCTTGACGTTTGCTAAGTCAGTAGCTCAAAATCACCTGATGCGCGAGTGTAAAGTAATTTTGGCGAAGGTGCATCAGTCAGTTAGAAAAATTACCGGCGACATCGTTGATGAAGGATTAGTGGAAGTTGCTAGCGTATTTCCGCTTTTCACCATAAATGCTGCAATGTAAGTGCAGGAAAAGCTGAATGATCCCGAAAACGCCACTGCAATGGTAATTTAAACATCAAAATCCTGGTCGAAACTAAGTACCTATTTTTTAAAACATAAAACGCACATACATACACTGAAGGGTAATTCTGGAGAGGTGGACCCTGTTATGCGCAAATTATTTATGTGTATATATATATGTTTGGATATAAATATGTAAGGGACATATAACACAC